CACTCAGACTCACTCACTCACTCAGACTCACTCACTCAGACTCACTCAGACTCACTCACTCAGACTCACTCACTCAGACTCACTCACTCAGACTCACTCACTCAGACTCACTCAGACTCACTCACTTAGACTCACTCACTCAGACTCACTCACTCAGACTCACTCACTTAGACTCACTCACTCAGACTCACTCACTCAGACTCACTCACTCAGACTCACTCACTCAGACTCACTCAGACTCACTCACTCTGACTCACTCACTCACTCAGACTCACTCACTCACTCAGACTCACTCACTCAGACTCACTCAGACTCACTCACTCAGACTCACTCACTCAGACTCACTCACTCAGACTCACTCACTCAGACTCACTCAGACTCACTCACTCAGACTCACTCACTCAGACTCACTCACTCAGACTCACTCACTCAGACTCACTCAGACTCACTCACTCTGACTCACTCACTCACTCAGACTCACTCACTCACTCAGACTCACTCACTCAGACTCACTCAGACTCACTCACTCAGACTCACTCACTCAGACTCACTCACTCAGACTCACTCACTCAGACTCACTCAGACTCACTCACTTAGACTCACTCACTCAGACTCACTCACTCAGACTCACTCACTTAGACTCACTCACTCAGACTCACTCACTCAGACTCACTCACTCAGACTCACTCACTCAGACTCACTCAGACTCACTCACTCTGACTCACTCACTCACTCAGACTCACTCACTCACTCAGACTCACTCACTCAGACTCACTCAGACTCACTCACTCAGACTCACTCACTCAGACTCACTCACTCAGACTCACTCACTCAGACTCACTCAGACTCACTCACTCAGACTCACTCACTCAGACTCACTCACTCAGACTCACTCACTCAGACTCACTCACTCAGACTCACTCAGACTCACTCAGACTCACTCACTCAGACTCACTCACTCAGACTCACTCACTCAGACTCACTCACTCAGACTCACTCAGACTCACTCACTCTGACTCACTCACTCACTCAGACTCACTCACTCACTCAGACTCACTCAGACTCACTCACTCAGACTCACTCACTCAGACTCACTCACTCAGACTCACTCACTCAGACTCACTCAGACTCAATCACTCACTCAGACTCACTCACTCACTCAGACTCACTCACTCACTCAGACCCACTCACTCAGACTCACTCACTCACTCAGACTCACTCAGACTCACTCAGACTCACTCAGACTCACTCACTCTGACTCACTCACTCAGACTCACTCACTCACTCACTCAGACTCACTCACTCAGACTCACTCACTCAGACTCACTCAGACTCAATCACTCACTCAGACTCACTCACTCACTCAGACTCACTCACTCACTCAGACCCACTCACTCAGACTCACTCACTCACTCAGACTCACTCAGACTCACTCAGACTCACTCAGACTCACTCACTCTGACTCACTCACTCAGACTCACTCACTCACTCACTCAGACTCACTCACTCAGACTCACTCACTCAGACTCACTCAGACTCAATCACTCACTCAGACTCACTCACTCACTCAGACTCACTCAGACTCACTCAGACTCACTCAGACTCACTCACTCTGACTCACTCACTCAGACTCACTCACTCAGACTCACTCAGACTCACTCACTTAGACTCACTCACTCAGACTCACTCACTCAGACTCACTCACTTAGACTCACTCACTCAGACTCACTCACTCAGACTCACTCACTCAGACTCACTCACTCAGACTCACTCAGACTCACTCACTCTGACTCACTCACTCACTCAGACTCACTCACTCACTCAGACTCACTCACTCAGACTCACTCAGACTCACTCACTCAGACTCACTCACTCAGACTCACTCACTCAGACTCACTCACTCAGACTCACTCAGACTCACTCACTCAGACTCACTCACTCAGACTCACTCACTCAGACTCACTCACTCAGACTCACTCAGACTCACTCAGACTCACTCACTCTGACTCACTCACTCAGACTCACTCACTCACTCACTCAGACTCACTCACTCAGACTCACTCACTCAGACTCACTCAGACTCAATCACTCACTCAGACTCACTCACTCACTCAGACTCACTCAGACTCACTCACTCAGACTCACTCACTCAGACTCACTCACTCAGACTCACTCACTCAGACTCACTCAGACTCACTCAGACTCACTCAGACTCACTCACTCTGACTCACTCACTCAGACTCACTCACTCACTCAGACTCACTCACTCAGACTCACTCACTCAGACTCACTCAGACTCAATCACTCACTCAGACTCACTCACTCACTCAGACTCACTCACTCACTCAGACCCACTCACTCAGACTCACTCACTCACTCAGACTCACTCAGACTCACTCAGACTCACTTAGACTCACTCACTCAGACTCACTCACTCAGACTCACTCACTCAGACTCACTCAGACTCACTCACTTAGACTCACTCACTCAGACTCACTCACTCAGACTCACTCACTTAGACTCACTCACTCAGACTCACTCACTCAGACTCACTCACTCAGACTCACTCACTCAGACTCACTCAGACTCACTCACTCTGACTCACTCACTCACTCAGACTCACTCACTCACTCAGACTCACTCACTCAGACTCACTCAGACTCACTCACTCAGACTCACTCACTCAGACTCACTCACTCAGACTCACTCACTCAGACTCACTCAGACTCACTCACTCAGACTCACTCACTCAGACTCACTCACTCAGACTCACTCACTCAGACTCACTCACTCAGACTCACTCAGACTCACTCAGACTCACTCAGACTCACTCACTCAGACTCACTCACTCAGACTCACTCACTCAGACTCACTCACTCAGACTCACTCAGACTCACTCACTCTGACTCACTCACTCACTCAGACTCACTCACTCACTCAGACTCACTCAGACTCACTCACTCAGACTCACTCACTCAGACTCACTCACTCAGACTCACTCACTCAGACTCACTCAGACTCAATCACTCACTCAGACTCACTCACTCACTCAGACTCACTCACTCACTCAGACCCACTCACTCAGACTCACTCACTCACTCAGACTCACTCAGACTCACTCACTCTGACTCACTCACTCAGACTCACTCACTCACTCAGACTCACTCACTCAGACTCACTCACTCAGACTCACTCACTCAGACTCAATCACTCACTCAGACTCACTCACTCACTCAGACTCACTCACTCACTCAGACTCACTCACTCACTCAGACCCACTCACTCAGACTCACTCACTCACTCAGACTCACTCAGACTCACTCAGACTCACTCAGACTCACTCACTCTGACTCACTCACTCAGACTCACTCACTCAGACTCACTCAGACTCCCTCTGACTCTGCTGCCCTTCCCCATGTGTGGACACAGGGCAGCCGCGAGGGGCGGAGCTTCAGCCGCGAGGGGCGGGGCATCAGCAGCAGCAAGGGGCGGGGCATCAGCAACCGCCAGGGGCGGGGCATCAGCAGCGAGGGGCGGGGCATCAGCCGCCGCGAGGGGCGGGGCATCAGCAGCCGCCAGGGGCGGGGCATCAGCAGCCGCCAGGGGCGGGGCATCAGCAGCGAGGGGCGGGGCATCAGCAGCAGCCAAGGGCGGGGCATCAGCAGCAGCGAGGGGCGGGGCATCAGCAGCAGCGAGGGGCGGGGCATCAGCAGCAACGAGGGGCGGGGCATCAGCAGCAGCCTCGAGGGGCGGGGCATCAGCAGCAGCGAGGGGCGGGGCATCAGCAGCAGCAAGGGGCGGGGCATCAGCAGCCGCGAGAGGCGGGGCATCAGCATCCGCGAGGGGCGGGGCAGCAGCCACGGGGGGCGGGGCATCAGCAGCGAGGGGCGGGGCATCAGCCGCGAGGGGCGGGGCTTCAGCCGCGCTGGGTGGTCCAGCGATGAGCCGGGCTGCTCCAAACCTCATTAGCATAATTAATGCGTGACGTAGCACGCCCTCGTGGTTTATGGTGCGATCGCATTAACATAATTTATGTGCCGACACCCAATTGGTCCGTGCAAACATTGACCACATTAACATAATTTATGTTGACGTCACGTACCCCCCGTGACCCACGCAAGTTACGACCTCAATTGGTTCGTACAAGCTTCAACCTCGCTCCTTTTTGCCCAATGCAGGCTCGAACTACATTAACATAATTTATGTTTGACGTCACGCACCCGCACCCCCTTGACCTACGCATGCTCCGCGACCTCATCAACATAATTTATGCGTGACGTCGTACACCACATTGGCCCATGCAAAGCGTCAATCGCAATTAACATAATTTATGTGAGGAGGGTTTTATTATTACTGCCGGTGAACATTAACATAATTTATGTGAGGAGGGTTTTATTATTGTTGCTGCCGGTGAACATTAACATCATTTATGTTTGACGAAGTGGCTCCAGATGCCAGCGGATTCCTCCGCTGCTGAAACAATTAAATAAATAAACGCATTGCCACCCGTGGTCCTGAGTGCTCATTAACATAATTTATTCCGGTAGAAGTCTTCCGTAACCGGTAGGAGTCTTCCGGCAGAGGAATTGGCGTTCATTTACCCCTCATTCCGCCTACTTCCCAAACCGGTAGACATCTTCGGGAAGAGAAGTCCGTGTTCAGTAACTCCCCATGAACGTCTTCCCAAACCGGTAGACATCTTCCAGAGGAGAAGTCCGCGTTCAGTAATCCCCCCATCAACGTCTTCCTAAACCGGAAGACATCTTCCGGAAGCGGAGCCCCCGTTCAGTAACCCCACTTCTACATCTTCCTAAACCGGTAGACATCTTCCGGAAGAGAAGTCCGCGTTCAGTAACCCCTCTTCTACGTATTCCCAAACCGGTAGACATCTTCCGGAAGAAAAGCCCCCGTTCAGTAACCTACCATCAACGTCTTCCCAAACCGGTAGACATCTTCCGGAAGAGATGTCTTCCCTTAAACGGTAGAAGTCTTTCGGCAGAGCAGCTCGCGTTCAGTAACCCTCTACCGATTCCGGCAGATGTCCTACCGCAGAGCGGTGGCCATCTTCCTAACCCAGCAGACATCTTCCGGAAGACATCTTCCTAATCCGGTAGATATCTTCGGAAACGGGCAGACGTCTTCCGGCAGAGTAGCCCGCGTTCAATAACCCGCCCGCTACCGATTCCGGCAGACGTCTTCCGGCAGAGAGGAATGAATGGGCGTGGTGCCGCTGATGCTGATTCTGGCGCTGGTGCCGGAACGTCGGCTGCAGCGACTGCAGCTGCTGGAGCCACGGCAGGAGGAGAGGGAGGTGGACGAGGCGGTGGCGGTGGCTGGCGGTGGTGAGGATCAGCAGCTGCATCATCATCATCATCAGCTTCATCATCAGCATCAGCTGCACCATCATCATCAGCTGCATCATCATCACCACCACCATCATCAGCTGCATCATCCTCATCAGCTGCATCATCATCAGCTGCATCATCATCATCATCCTTAGCTGCACCACCATCATCAGCTGCATCATCACCACCACCATCATCAGCTGCACCATCACCATCAGCTGCATCATCATCACCACCACCATCATCAGCTGCATCATCACCACCACCATCATCATCACCACCACCATCATCAGCTGCATCACCATCAGCTGCATTATCATCATCAGCTGCATCATCATCATCATCATCACTACCACCATCATCAGCTGCACCATCACCATCAGCTGCATCACCATCATCATCAGCTGCACCATCATCATCAGCTGCATCATCATCACCACCACCATCATCAGCTGCACCATCACCATCAGCTGCATCATCATCACCACCACCATCATCAGCTGCATCATCATCACCACCATCATCAGCTGCATAATCATCATAATCAGCTGCATTATCATCATCAGCTGCATCATCATCATCACCACCATCATCAACTGCATCATCACCATCAGCTGCACCATCATCATTAGCTGCATCATCATCATCACCACCATCATCAGCTGCATCATCATCATCACCATCATCAGCATCATCACCATCGTCAGCTACACCATCATCAGCAGCTGCATTATCATCACCATCATCATAAGCTGCATCATCATCAGCTGCATCATCACCATCATCAGCATCATCATCAGCAGCAGCAGCTGCATCATCATGATCAGCTGCATTATCATCATCATCACCATCAGCAGCATCATCAGCTGCACTCACTCACCCACTCACTCACCCTCTCACTCACTCACCAACTCACCCACCCACTCACTCATCCACCCACTCACTCACTCATCCACCCACTCACTCACCCACTCACTCACCCACTCACTCACTCACCCACTCACTCACTCACCCACTCACCCACACACCTACCCCCTCACTCACTCACCCATCCACTCACTCACCCATCCACCCACTTATTCACTCACCCACCCACTCACTCACTCACCCACTAACCCACTCACCTACCCACTCACCCACCCATCCACTCACCCACCCACTCACTCACCCACCCACCCACTCACCCACTCACCCACTCATTCACTCACCCATCCACTTACCCACCCACTCACTCACCCACTCACTCACCCATCCACCCACATACTCACCTATCCACTCACTCACCCTTCCACCCACGCACTCACCCACCCACTCACTCACCCACCCACTCACTCAGTCACCCACTCACTCACCCACTCACTCACTCACCCACTCACTCACTCACCCATTCACTCACCCACTCACTCACTCACCCACCCACTCACCCACTCACTCACTCACCCATTCACTCACCCACTCACTCACTCACCACTCACTCACTCATCCACACACTCACTCATTCACTCACCCACTCACTCACTCACCCATCCACTTACCCACCCACCCACTCACTCACCCACTCACTCACTCATCCACCCACTTACTCACTCACTCACTCACCCACCCACTCACTCACCCTTCCACCCACTCACTCACCCACCCACTCACCCACCCACTCACTCAACCATTCACTCACTCACCAACTCACACACCCAGCCACTCACTCACCCACTCACACACTCACTCACTCAACCACTCACTCACTCACCCACTCACTCACTCACCCACTCACTCACCCACTCACTCACCCATTCACTCACACACACACAAAGAACCCCCAGGTAGCCTCTAGCAGAGGTGTAGGGGCAAGAGCTGTTCGAAGCACACAGACACACAAACACACACACAAACTCTACACTACACTCTACACTACACTACTATACACTACTATACACTACACTACTATACACTACACTATACACTACACTATACACTACACTACTATACACTACACTATACACTACACTATACACTACACTATACACTACACTATACACTACTATACACTACACTATACACTACACTATACACTACACTATACACTACACTACACTATACACTACTATACACTACACTACTATACACTACACTACTATACACTACACTATACACTACAGTATACACTACACTACTATACACTACACTGTACACTACACTATACACTACTATACACTACATTATACACTACACTACTATACACTACACTATACACTCCACTACACTACTATACACTACACTATACACTACACTACACTATACACTACACTGCTATACACTACACTATACACTACACTACTATACACTACTATATACTACACTACTATACACTACACTATACACTACACTACACTATACACTACTATACACTACACTATACACTACACTACTATATACTACACTACACTATACACTCTATACTACACTATACACTACACTACTATACACTACACACTACACTACTATACACTACACTATACACTACACTATACACTACGCTACTATACACTACACTATATACTACACTATACACTACACTACTATACACTACACTATACACTACACTACTATACACTACACTATACACTACACTACTATACACTACACTATACACTACACACTACACTACACACTACACTACACTATACACTACACTACACTACTATACACTACACTATACACTACTATACACTACACTATACACTACACTATACACTACACTACTATACACTACACTACTATACACTACACTCTACACTACTATACACTACACTACTATACACTACACTATACACTACACTATACACTACACTACTATATACTACTATACACTATACACTACTATATACTACTATACACTACACTACTATATACTATACACTACACTATACACTACTATACACTACACTATACACTACACTACTATATACTACACTATACACTACACTACTATATACTACACTATACACTACACTATACACTACTATACACTACACTATTCACTACTATACACTACACTATACACTACGCTACTATACACTACACTACACTATACACTACTATATACTACACTATACACTACACTATACACTACACTATACACTACACTACTATATACTACACTACTACACACTACACTACACTATACACTACACTATACACTACTATACACTACACTATACACTACTACACTACTATACACTACACTATACACTACACTATACACTACTATACACTACACTACTACACACTACACTATTATACACTACAGTATACACTACACTACTATACACTACACTACTATACACTACACTACTACTATACACTACACTATACACTACAATACTATACACTACTACTATACACTACACTATACACTAGAATACTATACACTACTACTATACACTACACTATACACTACTATACACTACACTATACACTACACTATACACTACTACACTACTATACACTACACTACTATACACTACACTATACACTACAATACTATACACTACTACTATACACTACACTATACACTACACTATACGCTACTATACACTACACACTACACTATACACTACACTACACTATACACTACACACTACACTACACTATACACTACACTATACACTACTATACACTACTATACACTACACTATACACTACTACACTACTATACACTACACTGTACACTACACTATACACTACTATACACTACACTACTACACACTACACTACTATACACTACAGTATACACTACACTACTATACACTACACTACTATACACTACACTATACACTACACTACTATACACTACACTACTACTATACACTACACTATACACTACAATACTATACACTACTACTATACACTACAATACTATACACTACTACTATACACTACACTATACACTACACTACTATACCCTACACTATACACTACACACTACACTATACACTACACTATACACTACTATACACTACACTATACACTACTATACACTACACTACTATACACTACACTATACACTACACTACTACACACTACACTATACACTACACTATACACTACACTATACACTACTACTATACACTACACTATACACTACACTATACACTACACTATACACTATACTATACACTACACTATACTATACACTATACACTACACTACTATACACTACACTACACACTACACTAAACACTACTACACTACACTATACACTACTACACTACACTATACACTACACTATACACTACAATATACACTATACACTACACTATACACTACACTATACACTACACTATACACAACTATACACAACTATACACTACACTATACACTACACTATACACTACTATACACTACACTATACACTACTATACACTATACTATACACTACACTATACTATACACTACACTATACACTACTATACACTACACTATACACTACACTATACACTACTATACACTACACTATACACTACACTATACACTACTATACACTACACTATACACTACACTACACTATACACTACACTATACACTACACTATACACTACACTATACACTACACTATACACTACACTATACACTATACACTGCACTATACACTACACTATACACTACACTATACACTACACTATACTATACACTACAATATACACTACACTATACACTACACTACTATACACTACACTATACACTACACTATACACTACTATACACTACACTATACACTACACTATACACTACTATACACTACACTATACACTACACTATACACTACACTATACACTACACACTACACTACACTATACACTACACTATACACTACACACTACACTATACACTACACTATACACTACACCATACACTACACTACACTATACACTAATATACACTATACACTACTATACACTACACTATACACTACACTATACACTACACTATACACTACACACTACACTATACACTACACTACTATACACTACACTACTATACACTACACTATACACTACACTACACTATACACTACACTATACACTACACTATACACTACACTATAAACTACACTACACTATACACTACACTACACTATACACTACACTACTATACACTACACTATACACTACACTATACACTACACTACTATACACTACACTATACACTACACTATGCACTACACTATACACTACACTACTATACACTATACTACTATACACTACACTATACACTACACTATACACTACACTATACACTACACTACTATACACTACACTACTATACACTACACTACACACTACACTATACACTACACTATACACTACTATACACTACACTATACACTACACTATACACTACACTATACACTACACTATACACTACACTACACTACTATACACTACACTATACACTACTACACTACACTATACACTACACTATACACTACTACACTACACTATACACTACACTATACACTACACTATACACTACACACTACACTATACACTACACTACACACTACACTATACACTACACTACACACTACACTATACACTACACTATACACTACACACTACACTATACACTACACTATACACTACACTATACACTACACTATACACTATACACTACACTATACACTACACTATACACTACACTATACACTACACTATACACTACTATACACTACACTATACACTACACTATACACTACACTATACACTACACTATACACTACACTACACTACTATACACTACACTATACACTACTACACTACACTATACACTACACTATACACTACTACACTACACTATACACTACACTATACACTACACTATACACTACACTACACACTACACTATACACTACACTACACACTACACTATACACTACACTATACACTACACACTACACTATACACTACACTATACACTACTACACTACACTATACACTACACACTACACTACACTATACACTACACTATACACTACACTACACTATACACTACACTATACACTACACTATACACTACACACTACACTATACACTACACTATACACTACTACACTACACACTACACTATACACTACACTATACACTACACTATTCTCTATTACATTTTACCCTGCACTGTACACTACAGTGTACACTGCACTGTCTAATGCAGTCTGTGCCCCGCCCCCTCTCTCAGGTGATTGGACGCCTGAGGCTCCGCCCCCTCTCTCAGGTGATTTGACGCCTGAGACTCCGCCCCCTCTCTCAGGTGATTTGACGCCTGAGACTCCGCCCCCTCTCTCAGGTGATTTGACGCCTGAGGCTCCGCCCCCTCTCTCAGGTGATTGGACGCCTGAGGCTCCGCCCCCTCTCTCAGGCGATTTGACGCCTGAGGCTCCGCCCCCTCTCTACAGGTGATTGGACGCCTGAGGCTCCGCCCCCTCTCTCAGGTGATTGGACGCCTGAGACTCCGCCCCCACTGCAATAGTCGGGAGGGCGGGACTCCCTGCCTCTACGTGCAACCGGATTGCGCAACCGGATTGCGCAACTACGAGACGCAACTCCGACACGCAACTACTACACGCAACTCCGACACGCAACTAACACGCAACTAACACGCAACTAACACGCAACTAACACGCAACTAACACGCAACTGTGACACGCAACTGTGACACGCAACTAACACGCAACTAACACGCAACTAACACGCAACTCCGACACGCAACTAACACGCAACTAACACGCAACTAACACGCAACTGTGACACGCAACTAACACGCAACTGTGACACGCAACTAACACGCAACTAACACGCAACTAACACGCAACTGTGACACGCAACTGTGACACGCAACTGTGACACGCAACTAACACGCAACTGTGACACGCAACTAACACGCAACTGCTGATACTACAACTATCACTGATAATAGTACTGATACTACAACTATCACTGATAATAGTACTGGTACTATAACTATCACTGATAATAGTACTGATACTACAACTATCACTGATAATAGTACTGATACTACAACTATCACTGATAATAGTACTGATACTACAACTATCACTGATAATAGTACTGGTACTATAACTATCACTGATAATAGTACTGGTACTACAACTATCACTGATAATAGTACTGATACTACAACTATCACTGATAATAGTACTGGTACTACAACTATCACTGATAATAGTACTGGTACTACAACTATCACTGATAATAGTACTGGTACTACAACTATCACTGATAATAGTACTGATACTACTGCTGATACTACTGCTGATACTACAACTATCACTGATAATAGTACTGATACTACAACTATCACTGATAATAGTACTGATACTACTGCTGATACTACAACTATCACTGATAATAGTACTGAAACTACAACTATCACTGATAATAGTACCGCTGATACTACAACTATCACTGATAATAGTACTGGTACTACAACTATCACTGATAATAGTACTGATACTACAACTATCACTGATAATAGTACTGATACTACAACTATCACTGATAATAGTACCACTGATACTACAACTATCACTGATAATAGTACTGATACTATAACTATCACTGATAATAGTACTGATACTACAAATATCACTTATAATAGTACTGATACTACAACTATCACTGATAATAGTACTGGTACTACAACTATCACTGATAATAGTACTGATACTATAACTATCACTGATAATAGTACTGGTACTACAACTATCACTGATAATAGTACTGGTACTACAACTATCACTGATAATAGTACTGGTACTACAACTATCACTGATAATAGTACTGATACTACAACTATCACTGATAATAGTACCGCTGATACTACAACTATCACTGATAATAGTACCGCTGATACTACAACTATCACTGATAATAGTACTGATACTACTGCTGATACTACTGCTGATACTACAACTATCACTGATAATAGTACTGATACTACAACTATCACTGATAATAGTACTGATACTACAACTATCACTGATAATAGTACTGATACTACTGCTGATACTACTGCTACTACAACTATCACTGATAATAGTACTGATACTATAACTATCACTGATAATAGTACTGATACTACAACTATCACTGATAATAGTACTGGTACTACTGCTGATACTACAACTGTCACTGATAATAGTACTGGTACTACTGCTGATACTACAACTATCACTGATAATAGTACTGATACTACTGCTGATACTAGAACTATCACTGATAATAGTACTGATAGTACTGCTGATACTATCACTGATAATAGTACTGATACTACTGCTGATACTACAACCATCACTGATAATAGTACTGATCCTACTGCTGATACTACAACTATCATTGATAATAGTACTGATACTACTGCTGATACTACAACTATCACTGATAATAGTACTGATACTACTGCTGATACAACTATCACTGATAATAGTACTGATCCTACTGCTGATACTACAACTATCACTGATAATAGTACTGATCCTACTGCTGATACTACAACTATCACTGATAATAGTACTGATACTACTGCTGATACTAACTATCACTGATAATAGTATTGATACTACTGCTGATACTACAACTATCACTGATAATAGTACTGATCCTACTGCTGATACTACAACTATCATTGATAATAGTACTGATACTACTGCTGATACTACAACTATCACTGATAATAGTACTGATACTACTGCTGATACAACTATCACTGATAATAGTACTGATACTACTGCTGATACTACAACTATCACTGATAATAGTACTGCTGATACTACTGCTGATACTATAACTATCACTGATAATAGTACTGATACTACTGCTGATACTACAACTATCACTGATAATAGTACCGCTGATACTACTGCTGATACTACAACTATCACTGATAATAGTACTGATACTACTGCTGATACTACAACTATCACTGATAATAGTACTGATCCTACTGCTGATACTACAACTATCACTGATAATAGTACTGATACTACTGCTGATACTACAACTATCACTGATAATAGTACCGCTGATCCTACTGCTGATACTACAACTATCACTGATAATAGTACCGCTGATACTACTGCTGATACTACAACTATCACTGATAATAGTACTGATCCTACTGCTGATACTACAACTATCACTGATAATAGTACTGATACTACTGCTGATACTACAACTATCACTGATAATAGTACCGCTGATCCTACTGCTGATACTACAACTATCACTGATAATACTACTGATCCTACTGCTGATACTACAACTATCACTGATAATAGTACAGATACTACTGCTGATACTACAACTATCACTGATAATAGTACAGATACTACTGCTGATACTACAACTATCACTGATAATAGTACCTCTGATACTACTGCTGATACTACAACTATCACTGATAATAGTACCTCTGATACTACTGCTGATACTACAACTATCACTGATAATAGTACTGATACTACTGCTGATACTACAACTATCACTGATAATAGCACTGATACTACTGCTGATACTACAACTATCACTGATAATAGTACCGCTGATACTACTGCTGATACTACAACTATCACTGATAATAGTACTGATACTACTGCTGATACTACAACTATCACTGATAATAGTACTGATACTACTGCTGATAATAGTACCGCTGATCCTACTGCTGATAATAGTACCACTGATACTACAACTACTGATACTACAACTACTGCTGATACTACAACTATCACTGATAATAGTACCGCTGATACTACAAGTACTGCTGATAGTACCGCTGATACTACTGCTGATAATAGTACCGCTGATACTACCTACTGCTGATACTACCGCTGCTGATACTACAACTACTGATACTACAGCTGCTGATAGTACCGCTGATACTACTGCCGATACTACTGCTGATACTACTGCTGATACTACAACTACTGATACTACTACCGATAGTACTACTGATACTACTGCTGATACTACTACCGCTGATACTACTACCGCTGTTACTACTACCGCTGATACTACTACCGCTGATACTACTACCGCTGATACTACTACCGCTGATACTACCACTGATACTACTACCGCTGATACTACTACCGCTCATACTACCACCACTGATACTACTACCGCTGATACTACTACCGCTGATACTACTATCACTGATACTACAACTGCTGATATTACTACCGCTGATACTACTACCGCTCATTCTACTACCGCTTATACTACTACCGTTGATACTACTACTGCTGTTACTACTATCACTGATACTACTATCACTGATACTACTACCGCTCATACTACTATCACTGATACTACTATCACTGATACTACTACTGCTGATACTACTACCGCTGATACTACTATCACTGATACTACTATCACTGATACTACTACCGCTGATACTACTACCGCTGTTACTACTATCACTGATACTCCTATCACTGATACTACAACTGCTGTTACTACTATCGCTGATACTACTACCGCTGATACTACTACCGCTGATACTACTACCGCTGATACTACTATCGCTGATACTACTACCGCTCATACTACTACCGCTGATACTACTATCGCTGATACTACTACCGCTGATACTACAACTGCTGTTACTACTACTGCTGTTACTACTACCACTGATACTACTATCACTGATACTACTATCACTGATACTACTATCACTGATACTACTACCGCTGATACTACTACCGCTGATACTACAACTGCTGGTACTACTACCGCTGATACTACTACCGCTGATACTACTATCACTGACACTACTATCACTGATACTACTATCACTGATACTACTACCGCTCATACTACTACCGCTGATACTACTACCGCTGATACTACTACCGCTGATACTACAACTGCTGATACTACTACTGCTGATACTACTACTGCTGATACTACTACCGCTGATACTACTACCGCTGATACTACAACTGCTGGTACTATGACTGGTACTATGACTGGTACTATTGATGTCGTAACTCAGGATACTAATCGACTCACCAGTCTTGAGTTTTTCATCCTCGCTCCACACCACTGAGTAGCCCCACGTTGGATACGCACGGTGCGAGAGAAGTTAAAACGTAGATAATTCGCTAATACTATACACTACACTATACACTACACTACTATACACTACACTTTACACTACTATACACTACACTATACACTACACTGCTATACACTACACTATACACTACACTACACACTACACTATACACTACACTATACTCTACTATACACTACACTATACACTACACTATACACTACACTATACACTACTACTATACACTACTACTACACTATACACTACACTATACACTACACTATACACTACACTATACACTACACTACTATACACTATACACTACACTATTATATACCACACTATACACACTACACTATACACTACACTACTATCCACTACACTATACACACTACACTATACACTACACTATACACTACTATACACTACACTACACACTACACTATACACTACACTACTACACACTACACTATACACTACACTACACACTACACTATACACTACACTACTATACACTACTATACACTACACTATACACTACTATACACTACACTATACACTACACTATACTATACACTACACTACTATACACTACACTACTATACACTACACTACTATACACTACACTATACACTACACTATACTTTACACTATACACTACACTATACACTACACTATTCTATACACTACACTACTACACACTACACTATACACTACTATACACTACACTATACACTACATACTACACTATACACTACACTATACACTACTACTACACTACTATACACTACACTATACACTTCTACTACACTACTATACACTACACTATACACAACACTACTATACACTACACGATACACTACACTACCATACACTACACTATTATACACTACACTATACACTACACTACTGTACACTATACACTACACTACTGTACACTATACACTACACTATACACTACACTACTATACACTACACTATACACTACCCTATACACTACACTATACACTACTACTACACTACTATACACTACACTATACACTACTACTACACTACTATACACTACACTATACACTACACTACTATACACTACACTATACACTACACTACCATACACTACACTACTATACACTACACTATACACTACACTACTATACACTATACACTACACTACTATACACTACACTATACACTACACTATACACTACACTACTATACACTACACTACTATACACTACACTATACACTACACTACTATACACTACACTATACACTACACTATACACTACTATACACTACACTACTATACACTACACTATACACTACACTACTATACACTACACTATACACTACACTATACACTACACTACACTACTATACATTACACTATAAACTACACTATACACTACACTACTACACTATACACTACACTACGCTGCTACAGACACCACCACCACCATCACCACCACCACCACAACACCACAACAACACCACAACACCACCACCACTACACAACATCGCCACCACCCCCACCACCACCGCCACCACCACCACAACACAACCACCACCACCACCACCACCACCACTACACCACAACACCAACACCACAACACCACCACCACAACACCACCGCCACCACCCCCACCACCACATCACAACACCACCACAACACCACCACCATCACCACCACCACCACCACAACACCACCACAACACCACCACCATCACCACCACCACCAACACCACCACCACAACCACCACAACACCACCACCACCACCACCGCCGCCGCCGCTGCGTGCGATGCTGCGATGATTTCCGATGGTGAAGACCGCGAGGAGGAGGAGGAGGAGGAGGCGGTCCAGGCGGTCGAGGCGGTCCAGGCGGTCGAGGCGGTCCAGGCGGTCCCCTCAGCGGCCTGTCCAGGCGAGCGGCAGGCCCCTCAGCGGCTGGCCCCCCACACGGCCCCCTGGCACTGTCTCTGCTGGCTGCCCATCGGCGCCGGCCTCCTGAGCCTCGGGCTGTGCGCCGCCGGTCTCAAGTGGGTCTTCGTCGACAGGATATTCGAGTCGTCCTCCTCCTCATCATCCTCCTCATCATCCTCCTCATCATCCTCCTCATCATCCTCCTCATCCTCGTCCGAGTCTGAGTCCGAGGCTCCGTCGGAGGCTCCGTCGGAGGCTCCGTCGGAGGCTTCTGGGGCGAGCGGAGGAGGAGCAAAGGACAATGGAGGGGGAGGAGCAAAGGACAACGATGGAGGGGGAGGAGCAAAGGACAATGGAGGGGGAGGAGCAAAGGACAACGATGGAGGGGGAGGAGCAAAGGACAACAATGGAGGGGGAGGAGCAAAGGACAACAATGGAGGAGCAAAGGACAACAATGGAGGAGGAGCAAAGGACAATGGAGGGGGAGGAGCAAAGGACAATGGAGGGGGAGGAGCAAAGGACAATGGAGGGGGAGGAGCAAAGGACAACAATGGAGGAGGAGCAAAGGACAACAATGGAGGGGGAGGAGCAAAGGACAACAATGGAGGGGGAGGAGCAAAGGACAACGATGGAGGGGGAGGAGCAAAGGACAACAATGGAGGGGGGGGAGGAGCAAAGGACAACAATGGAGGGGTCAGTCCGTTGGCTCGGGAATTTCCGTCCACGGCCGCTTGGACTACAACGGAGGTCACCCTCCGGAACGATGGCGATGGTGGTGGTGATGGTGGTGATGGTGGTGGTGATGGTGGTGGTGATGGTGGTGATGGCATCACCGTGGATTCTACAGTGGAGAGTCAAGGAGGGGATGGTGAGCGCCTTGACCTCAACTTCCAGTGGCCCACCACCACCTCCACCTCGTCCACCACCTCGTCCACCACCTCGTCCACCACCACCACATCCACCATCACCACCACTGTTCGCCATGGGCTGGAGGGGGAGGGGCCAGCGGGAGCCACGCCCACGCTTCCTGCCGAGGCCACGCCCACACTTCCTGCCGAGGCCACGCCCCCACTTCCTGCCGAGGCCACGCCCCTCGCCCCCCCGACGGCAGCGGCGGCTCCGCGCAGGAAATGTGAGCCGGCCAATCAGAGCGCTCGCTCACTCGCTCATTCGTTTACTCATTCATTGATTGACTCATTCATTCACTCAACTACTCATTCATTGGTTCATTCATTAATTGACTCGTTCATTCCTTCACTCAACTACTCATTCATTGGCTCATTCATTGATTGACTCATTCATTCCTTCACTCAATTACTCATTCATTTACTCATTCATTGATTGCTCATTCATTGGCTCATTCAGTAATTGACTCATTCATTCCTTCACTCATCTACTCATTCATTGGTTCATTCATTGATTGACTCATTCATTCACTCAACTGCTCATTCATTGGTTTATTCGTTGATTGTCTCATTCATTCATTCACTCAACTACTCATTCATTGGTTCATTCATTAATTGACTCATTCATTCCTTCACTCAACTGCTCATTCATTCGCTCATTCAGTAATTGACTCATTCATTCCTTCACTCAACTACTCAATCATTGGTTCATTCATTGATTGACTCATTCCTTCACTCAACTACTCATTCATTGGTTCATTCATTGACTCATTCATTCCTTCACTCAACTACTCATTCATTGGCTCATTCATTAATTGACTCATTCAATCCTTCACTCAACTACTCATTCATTGGTGCATTCATTGATTGACTCATTCATTCCTTCACTCAACTACTCATTCATTGGTTCATTCATTAATTGACTCATTCATTCCTTCACTCAACTGCTCATTCATTCGCTCATTCAGTAATTGACTCATTCATTCCTTCACTCAACTACTCAATCATTGGTTCATTCATTGATTGACTCATTCATTCACTCAACTACTCATTCATTGGCTCATTCATTGACTCATTCATTCCTTCACTCAACTACTCATTCATTGGCTCATTCATTAATTGACTCATTCAATCCTTCACTCAACTACTCATTCATTGGTTCATTCATTGATTGACTCATTCATTCCTTCACTCATCTACTCATTCATTGGTTCGTTCATTGATTGACTCATTCATTCACTCAACTGCTCATTCATTGGTTTATTCGTTGATTGTCTCATTCATTCACTCAGCTACTCATTCATTGGTTCATTCATTAATTGACTCATTCCTTCCTTCACTCAACTGCTCATTCATTCGCTCATTCAGTAATTGACTCATTCATTCCTTCACTCAACTACTCAATCATTGGTTCATTCATTGATTGACTCATTCCTTCACTCAACTACTCATTCATTGGTTAATTCATTGATTGACTCATTCATTCACTCAACTACTCATTCATTGGCTCATTCATTAATTGACTCATTCAATCCTTCACTCAACTACTCATTCATTGGTTCATTCATTGATTGACTCATTCATTCCTTCACCCAACTACTCATTCATTGGCTCATTAATTCATTGACTCATTCATTCGTTCACTCAACTACTCATTCATTGGTTCATTCATTGATTGACTCATTCATTCCTTCACTCAACTACTCATTCATTGGCTCATTAATTCATTGACTCATTCATTCGTTCACTCAACTACTCAGTCATTGACTCATTCATTGATTGACTCATTCATTCCTTCACTCAACTACTCATTCATTGGTTCATTCATTGATTTGCTCATTCATTCCTTCACTCAACTGCTCATTCATTGGTTCATTCATTGATTGATTGATTCATTCCTTCACTCAACTAATCGTTCATTGACTCATTAATTAATTGACTTATTCATTCCTTCACTCAACTACTCATTCGTTGACTCATTCATTAATTGACTCATTCATTCCTTCACTCAACTACTCATTCATTGACTCATTCATTAATTGTCTCATTCATTCCTTCACTCAACTACTCATTAATTGGTTCATTAATTAATTGACTTATTCATTCCTTCACTCAACTGCTCATTCATTGACTCATTCATTAATTGACTCATTTCTTCACTCAACTGCTCATTCATTGGTTCATTCATTAATTGACTCATTAATTCCTTCACTCAACTGCTCATTCATTGGTTCATTCGTTGATTGTCTCATTCATTCATTCACTCAACTACTCATTCATTGGTTCATTCGTTGATTGTCTCATTCATTCATTCATTCACTCAACTACTCATTCATTGGTTCATTAATTAATTGACTCATTCATTCCTTCACTCAACTGCTCATTCATTCGCTCATTCAGTAATTGACTCATTCATTCCTTCACTCAACTACTCATTCATTGGTTCATTCATTGAGTGACTCATTCCTTCACTCAACTACTCATTCATTGGTTCATTCATTGATTTACTCATTCATTCACTCAACTACTCATTCATTGGCTCATTCGTTGATTGTCTCATTCATTCACTCAATTAATCATTCATTCGCTCATTCAGTAATTGACTCATTCATTCCTTCACTCAACTACTCATTCATTGGTTCATTCATTGATTGACTCATTCATTCCTTCACTCAACTGCTCATTCATTCGCTCATTCAGTAATTGACTCATTCATTCCTTCACTCAACTACTCATTCATTGGATCATTCATTGATTGACTCATTCCTTCACTCAACTACTCATTAATTGGTTCATTCATTGATTTACTAATTCATTCACTCAACTACTCATTCATTGGCTCATTCATTAATTGACTCATTCAATCCTTCACTCAACTACTCATTCATTGTTTCATTCATTGATTGACTCATTCATTCCTTCACTCAACTACTCATTCATTGGCTCATTAATTCATTGACTCAATCATTCGTTCACTCAACTACTCAGTCATTGACTCATTCATTGATTGACTCAATCATTCCTTCACTCAACTACTCATTAATTGGTTCATTCATTGATTTGCTCATTCATTCCTTCACTCAACTGCTCATTTATTGGTTCATTCATTGATTGATTGATTCATTCCTTCACTCAACTACTCATTCATTGACTCATTCATTAATTGACTTATTCATTCCTTCACTCAACTACTCATTCATTGACCCATTCATTAATTGACTCATTCATTCCTTCACTCAACTACTCATTTATTGACTCATTCATTAATTGACTCATTCATTCCTTCACTCAACTACTCATTCATTGGTTCATTAATTAATTGACTTATTCATTCCTTCACTCAACTGCTCATTCATTGACTCATTCATTAATTGACTCATTCCTTCACTCAACTGCTCATTCATTGGTTCATTCATTAATTGACTCATTAATTCCTTCACTCAACTGCTCATTCATTGGTTCATTCATTGATTGACTCATTCCTTCACTCAACTACTCATTCATTGGTTCATTCATTGATTGACTCATTCATTCCTTCACTCAATTACTCATTCATTAGTTCATTCATTAATTGACTCATTCATTCCTCCACTCCACTACTCATTCATTGACTCAATCATTAATTGACTCATTAATTCCTTCACTCAACTACTCATTCATTGACTCATTCATTCCTTCACTCAACTACTCATTCATTGACTTATTCATTCATTGACTCATTCATTCCTTCACTCAACTGCTCATTCATTGGTTCATTCGTTGATTGTCTCATTCATTCACTCAACTACTCATTCATTGATTCATTCATTAATTGACTCATTCATTAACTCAACTACTCATTCATTGGTTCATTCATTGATTTGCTCATTCATTTCTTCACTCAACTATTCATTCATTGACTCATTCATTAATTGACTCATTCATTCCTTCACTCAACTACTCAATCATCGACTCATTCATTGATTGACTCATTCATTCCTTCACTCAACTGCTCATTCATTCGCTCATTCAGTAATTGACTCATTCATTCCTTCACTCAACTACTCATTCATTGGATCATTCATTGATTGACTCATTCCTTCACTCAACTACTCATTCATTGGTTCATTCATTGATTTACTCATTCATTCACTCAACTACTCATTCATTGGCTCATTCGTTGATTGTCTCATTCATTCACTCAACTAATCATTCATTCGCTCATTCAGTAATTGACTCATTCATTCCTTCACTCAACTACTCATTCATTGGTTCATTCATTGATTGACTCATTCATTCCTTCACTCAACTGCTCATTCATTGGCTCATTCGGTAATTGACTCATTCATTCCTTCACTCAACTACTCATTCATTGGTTCATTCATTGGTTGATTCATTCATTCACTCAACTGCTCATTCATTGGTTCATTCGTTGATTGTCTCATTCATTCACTCAACTACTCATTCATTGGTTCATTCATTAATTGACTCATTCATTCCTTAACTCAACTGCTCATTCATTCGCTCATTCAGTAATTGACTCATTAATTCCTTCACTCAACTACTCATTCATTGGATCATTCATTGATTGACTCATTCCTTCACTCAACTACTCATTAATTGGTTCATTCATTGATTTACTCATTCATTCACTCAACTACTCATTCATTGGCTCATTCATTAATTGACTCATTCAATCCTTCACTCAACTACTCATTCATTGTTTCATTCATTGATTGACTCATTCATTCCTTCACTCAACTACTCATTCATTGGCTCATTAATTCATTGACTCATTCATTCGTTCACTCAACTACTCAGTCATTGACTCATTCATTGATTGACTCAATCATTCCTTCACTCAACTACTCATTCATTGGTTCATTCATTGATTTGCTCATTCATTCCTTCACTCAACTGCTCATTCATTGGTTCATTCATTGATTGATTGATTCATTCCTTCACTCAACTACTCATTCATTGACTCATTCATTAATTGACTTATTCATTCCTTCACTCAACTACTCATTAATTGACCCATTCATTAATTGACTCATTCATTCCTTCACTCAACTACTCATTTATTGACTCATTCATTAATTGACTCATTCATTCCTTCACTCAACTACTCATTCATTGGTTCATTAATTAATTGACTTATTCATTCCTTCACTCAACTGCTCATTCATTGACTCATTCATTAATTGACTCATTCCTTCACTCAACTGCTCATTCATTGGTTCATTCA